ATCAGCCCAAGATGCACCGGGCCCCTGCAAGGCACTGTGGCCATGGGCACTGCACTGACCCCACTGCTGGGTTTGGCTGCCACGGCCACTGTGAGAAATTAAACTGTCCTTGGAAACACTGGGGAGGACTGGGACATACTGGGGACACTGGGAACACTGTGGGAGACACTGGGACATAATGGGAGTGACACTGGGGGGTACTGGGACAGACTGGGAACACTGGGGTTATTGCAGAGAAAACTGGGGACACTGGGACATCATGTGGATGACATTGGGAGGAACTGGGAACGACTGGGAATGAGCTCAGGTGTATTGGGAGGGACTGGGCTGTACTGGGAGGGATCGGAGAGGCACTGGGGTTGTACTGGGTTCTACTTGGGATGAATTAGGCTTTAGTGAGGTTATACTGGTCTGTACTGGGAATGGACTGGACTGTCCTTGAGGGACTGTAGGAGGGTGATTCAGCTGTTCCCGCCTCCACCACATCCCATTTGCCGAGGCTCCCGCCCATTACCGTTCGCAGCCAATCAGCACCAGAGATCCGGGACTCGGGCAGTGCCTAGATTGGCGCCATCTTTTCTTTTTGCATACAACTCCCATCACGCCCCACGGCCCGATTGAGCCCCATTGGAGCCGGAATGACATCTCCCGTCATGCCCCGTCCTCCACAGAACCCCGGGATCCGCCCCCATCTGTCCCATAAGTGTCCCCCGTAACCTTCAGGATCCTTCAGTGTCCCCTTAGCACCCATTCGGGACCACCCAAAGTGTCCTCGGACCCCCTGAGTGCTCCCAACCCCACAGATGCCTGGCACAACCACTTTTGGGAATTCATCTCCTCTCATCTCCACGGCCCCAGAGCCCCTCAGAACACATCCCGCGCCTAAAACTCCTGCCGTGCCCTGTGCCCTAAAGAGCCCGGTTAGAGCTCCTCGAGCTCCCCCCAAGCGCTCCCGAGCTGTTTAAGTTCCCCCGAGGACTTGAAGTCGCGGCTCGGACGCAAAAGTGTCTTCCAAGAGCATTCCCGTACCACCAAACATCGTGTTCGAGCCATTTCCGGGACTACAGCTCCCATCATGCTCCGCGGCGCTCGTCAAGCGCTATTTCCAGCCGGGACTTTATCTCCCATCATGCCCCGGGCCCCAGCGAGAGCCATTGCAGCTGTGCCTAGAACTCCCGTGATGCTCCGCGGCGTCATTAATCCGTGTGATACCCGCGCCTACAACTCCCATCACCCCCTGCACCCCAGAGAGCCCCATTCGAGCCCCCCAAGGGCCCGCCCAGACCCCGAAGGGGCCCAAATTCCCCTCCCTGACCTCCAAGGCCCCCCTGGACCCCCAAATGCTGCCCCGGACCCCGAACTGTTCCTCAGAATCCCTGAGAGCCCCTCCACGTGCCCACCTGACTCCCACAGGTGTCCTCCAGACCCTCAAGTTCTCTCTGAATTCCCTCTCCAGATGCAAAACTGCCCCAAATGTGCCCCAGAAATTTCTCTGTGGAACCCGAATTTCCTCTCTTGAGGAAAAGATTATAAAAAGATGACAAAAAGACTACAAATATATCTAATTTCCATGAAGAGGAAGAAATAAGTAGCCAATGGATATTAATTAATTGATGTAATGAATTCTGTTTCTTAGCATGAGTGGCAAATCATTTTTTTGGTTGCTAAAATTGTATAGATTTTTAAAGAAAAAGATAAAAATAATGTAATGAAAATAATGACGTATAATATATATTTTAAAAGTATTTATTATTTTTTTATCAATAAATTTTATTTATAAGAAAAATGCTTAAATTTTTTTTGTTATGTTTTGGAACGTCAGTCCCAGGTGGGCGATGTCAGACATGGTGAGGATGGGGGTGAGGAGCAGCTTGTCCAAACAGGCTCAGACTGCAAGGGGCTCATTCTTCTCCTTGCCCAGACCTCATAAGGAGACATTCAGCATCAAGATCTCTTGGCGAGTGCTTCTATCCCCTCTTCTCTGAAATGAAAAGGAAAACATTATTTTCTTGATTAAAGCCAAAAATCATGATGTGCGCTTTGCAATCTTCCTCCTGAAGAGAACTCCAAACTGACTCCAATCACTGCACAAGTCCTGGAGACTGAATGACAGTGGAAGGGAGACAAAGGGCTCCTGAGGGCTTTCTGTATTTTAATCAGCCCCACGGTGGATTTGGGCCTGGCTCTAGGAGCCTCAGGCATGGAGAGAAGGATGAAGAAGCTGCTCAAAGAGTCAGCAGCAAAACTCCAAGTGCCTTGGAGCATGCCTGGGGCCCAGTGAGGGCAGGGAGTGCCAAAGGCTGCCCAGGGCCTGGTGAGAGCAGATCCTTGAGGCCAGGATTGCAGGGAGCCCAAGGGTAGGAGGAAGTGAGTGGTCAAGGAGGTCCCAGTTTTTGTTAGCCTTCCCAGCCTCTTCTTTTACTTTACTAGCTTGCTTTCCCTCTTTTAAATTATAGACTCTTGTATTTTCCTCCTCTGAGGCGTACTTCAGCCAACAGGTGACGTTCTGTATGTGATGGGCCTTCTGCTGGAACTTGGGGCAAAAAAGAAGTTCCATCACCTTTAGACAGAGGTAGGTAACTCACGAAATGTTTAAGGATGTTTTTAGGTCATGCAGACAGAAAATTAGAGAGGTGAAAGCTTACGATTTACCCAGGCCACTTCTGTGAAGGATAATAGAAATATTTCTATAAATACATTAATGGCAAAAGAAGGTACAAGGACGATCTCTATTCATTATTACGAGAGATAGGGTTACCAGATATGAGGGAAAGGCTGAGGTACTTAACTCCTTCTGAGCTCAGTTTTCAAGAATAAGTCCAGTTGTCCTCAGGACAGGTGTTCTCCTGAGCTGGTGGATGGGCACAGGGAGCAGAACAGGCCCCCTGTAATCCAGGAGGAAGCACCTGGGGACCTGCTGAGCCACTCAGATGCTCACAGATGTGTGGGATCAGATGGGATCCATCCCAGGGGGATGAGGGAGCTGGTGGATGAGCTCCCCAAGCTGCTCTCCATCATTTACCATCAGTGCTGGCTCAGCAGGGAGGTCCCAGAGGACTGGAGGTGCCAATGTGAGCCCATCCCCAAGAAGGGCTGGAAGGAGGAGCTGGGGAACTCCAGGCCTGTCAGCCTGAGCTGGGTGACCGACAAGGTTATGGAACAGATCACCTTGAGTGCCATCACAGGGCACCCACAGGATGGCCGAGGGATCAGAGCCAGCCAGCGTGGATTTCAACATCTGCACTGATGATCTGCATGAGGGGATTGAGTCCAGCATCAGCAAATTTGTAGATGACACCAAGCTGGGTGAGACTGTGGATGTGCTGGAGGGTAGGAGGGCACTGCAGAGGGACCTGGACAGGCTGGATCCAGGGCCCAAATCCAACAAGGTGAGGTTGAACAAGACAAAGTGCTGGGTCCGGCACTTTGGCCACAACGACCCCTGCAGTGCTACAGACTGGGGACAGAATGGCTGGACAGCAGCCAGACAGAAAGGGACCTGGGAGCACTGATGGACAGCAGGCTGGACATGAGCCGGCAGTGTGTCCCCACGTGGGCAAGAAGGCCAATGGCTCCTGGCCTGGATCAGGAATGGTGTGGCCAGCAGGAGCAGGGCAGTGATTCTTCCCCTGTGCTCGGCACTGGTGAGGCCACACCTCGAGTGCTGTGTCCAGTTCTGGGCCCCCAATTTAGGAAGAACATGGAGGGGCTGGAGCGTGTTGAGAGAAGGGCAACAAGGCTGGTGAGGGGTCTGGAACACAAGTCCTGTGAGGAGTGGCCAAAGGAGCTAGGGTTGCTTATCCTGGAGAAGAGGAGGCTCAGGGAGACAAGGTGGTGTCAAGGCACAGGTTGGACTTGATGATCTCCAAGGTCTTTTCCAACCTTGCTGATTCTGTGACTCTGTGAAACCACCCTTGGAGCAGTTGCAACAGCGTCTGCAGTGGGACAGGAAACTCCCAGCTGATGGGAACAGACTTTCTGGCTGACTGCAGAGGCCAGGACAAAGCTGAGTGGTTTCCCTGGTGTGCCCCAGCCCTTGCTGGCCCCAGGGGCTGATGGCATTTGTGCTCCCTCAGGTTCATGTCCCCACAGCAACAGCATGGGGGTGGTCTCCCTGCTCTGTGCTATGGAAACAGGGGATGCTGAGCCAGTGCTGCTGTGTCAGTGCCTGCAAGGATGTGGCACCTGTGTGAGCTGGGGGAGAGGCCAGGGCTGCAGAGTGGGGATGTTGTTGGCAAGTCCATGAGGACGCTCTGGGACGCTGCCCTGGGCTGTGCAGCGCACTGGGGATGGATCAGCCCCTGCTCTGCTGCTCCTTCTCGTCTGCCCCAGGGCCCTTGCAGAGCCCCAGCCTTGCTTTTTGCCCCCAGCCTGCCCACGGCCAGCCTGGGGCTGCTCACGGGGCTTTTCTGTGCTGAGCATTGGCCTGGGTGTGTTCTTGAGAGAGCCTGGGCAAGGAGCCTTGAGCCCCCAGGCCCTGTGCTGAGGCGTCAGCGCTACCCCAGCAGTGCCCATGGCCTGTCCCTGCTGCAGCCCTGGCACTGCCACCCCCAGGGCTGTGCCCGGCCCCAAGCGCACTCAGGCCCTGCAGCAACACCAGGGCCACCAGGGCAGTGGAGCAGGGCCACGGCAGCAGCACTGGCAACACCAAGTGCTGCTGCTGCTGGGCACAGCTGCTGTGCCAGCCCTGATCTGCCCCCAGCTCTGCACACAGACATTGCTGCTGCAGCTCCAGAGAAGGCAACAAAAGGGACATCTCTGGTGAAAACTTTGCTAAGAGATATTTTATTTCATTTAAAGGCACTGAGAGCACTCCTCCCCATTGACAAAGTCTGAGGGCACAGTGAAGTTGGAGAGAAACAAAATAAGAAATGGCAGAAAAAATGGCCATGGTTTAGGGAGAATATTAAAACATGAAAACAGAATAAAACCAAAAAACAATCCAAGAAGTATAAAAGATTACTTTTCTTTCAAGAGATATGCAGAAACTGCCAACCAGTTTAATGTTTCTTAAATTGTCCAGTCATCAGTCTCCACACTGCAGCCTTGAGCTCCTGGTTCCTCGGGCTGTAGATGAGGGTGTTAAGGGCTGGAGGCACCACTGAGTACAGAACTGACAGGGCCAGATCCAGGGATGGGGAGGAGATGGAGAGGGGCTTCAGGTAGGCAAAAAAGCCAGTGCTCACAAACAGGGAGACCACGGCCAGGTGAGGGAGGCAGGTGGAAAAGGCTTTGTGCTGTCCCTGCTCAGAGGGGATCCTCAGCACAGCCTGGAAGATCTGCACATAGGAGAAAACAATGAACACAAAACAACCAAAACCTAAGGATGCACCAAGACCAATGAATCCAAGTTCCTTAAGGTTGGAATGTGAGCAGGAGAGCTTGAGGATGTGGGGCACCTCACAGAAGAACTGGCCCAGGGCATTGCCATGGCACAGGGGCAGGGAAAATGTATTGGCTGTGTGCAGCAGAGCATTGAGAAAGCCACTGGCCCAGGCAGTTGCTGCCATGTGGGCACAAGCTCTGCTGCCCAGCAGGGTCCCGTAGTGCAAGGGTTTGCAGATGGACACGTAGCGGTCATAGCACATGACAATCAGGAGGAAATACTCTGCTGATATAAGGAAAACAAAGAAGAAAACCTGAGCAGCACGTCCTGAGTAGGAGATGATGCTGGTGTCAGAGAGGGAATTGTGCATGGCTTTGGGGACAGTGGTGCAGATGGAGCCCAGGTTGCTGAGGGCCAGGTTGAGCAGGAAGAAGAACATGGGCGTGTGCAGGTGGTGGCCGCAGGCTATGGCGCTGATGATGAGGCCGTTGCTCAGGAGGGCAGCCAGGGAGATGCCCAGCTAGAGGCAGAAGTGCAGGAGCTGCAGCTGCCGTGTGTCTGCCAATGCCAGCAGGAGGAAGTGCCTGATGGAGCTGCTGTTGGACATTTGCTGTGTTACCACATTTCAACCTACGGAAGGAGGAATCACAGTGATAATTGAGGGGAGATTTCTTGCAGGAAAGTCAAGGCCCTTTATCACAGACCCTTTCTTGCCACTAAACACCTCCCTCTGTCCATATCTCACAGATCTTCCTTCAGCTCTGTTGCTGGAGCTCAGATTGCTGCTGGCCAATGTTGTGTAAGGAGTTAGACCTTGACCTGCAGGACACCTGAGAGTCAGCCCTGACCCCCAGTCAGTGCAGGGGAACAGTGAGGGCAGGAGCCAGTCCTGGTGTTTGGAGCTGGATAAAAAATGTTCAGCTAAATCAGAGGAGCTGCCTGGGTGAAGGGATGGGGATTGCAGGAGGCAGAACGAGAACTTCTGCTGCACCTGGGGAGAACAGAGAGTCCAGGGAGGCAGGAGGCTTGTCTGAGGCTTTATGCGGACTGAGCGGAGCTGCTCTGTCCCTCTCTCCTCTTCCAGCTGCCCTGGACTTGCACCTTTCTGAAATCCACTCCTGTGTTACCCTGGGCAGCCAGGAGACACTGCTGAGAGCAGAGGGATCCCTGGCACACAAAGTGGCTCCTGCCTTTCCCAGAGTCAGGAGAGTGGGCTCATTGCCAGCCTCCAAGGCTGCCCTGCCCAGAGCTGCCCGGGCACAGGGAGCTGGGACACCCCATTGCTGTGCTCAGACTGCACAGCAGGAGCCAAAGGGCTGGGCCTGGCCCTGCAGCTGGAACTGCCATTGCAGAGAGCCCCTCAGCAATGCCAGCAGCACCTGGGCAAGGCAAGGAGAGAGAGAGAGCTGGGTCTGAGGAAAAGCCTTTCCCTGGCCAGCCCTGCCAATCCCCTGCCAGGCAGCAGCAGGACAGGACAGTGGCCCTCAGGCCCTGGTCAGCAGGGAGTGGGCACATGGCCGCAGAGATGCCCTTCATCTCTGGGGCTGCTCTGCTGGCCCAGGAGGGACTGAGGGCCCCAAGCCCCCGGGCTGAGGGCTGGTCTGGCTGCGAGGGGACACAAGAGCTGTGCTGCTCAGGGCAGTGTCTGCCCTGCAGGGCAGGCCCGACAGGTGCCACATCTGCCCTGCAGCAGGGCTTCCCTCAGCACGTCCTCCCTCCCTGCCTGCCCACGGCTCTGCTGCTGGAGCTGTCCCAGCCCCAGCTGCTCCTGTGGCCCCGGCCTCCTTCCCTGCCAGAGCCCAGCCCAGCCCCTGGGCCAGCCCTGCCCTGCAGCTGCTTGGCCCTGCAGGGATAAAAGAACAGCTCCCCCAGCCTGGGCACCATGGAAAGGTGATGCTGTATGGATCTGGAGGCTGGGCAGGTGCAGGCATTTGCTGAGGTGCACAGGAATCCTCAGGGTGATGGTTTAAGAGCCTCAACCCCTGCTCTGCCCTGCACAGTTGATTTTGCATTGTCACCAAGCTGAGCCAGGGAAAAGTGGGAGCACAGATTCGGGAAAGCAGAGACCCAAGCAGGAAACTCCTGCCCTGAATGTGCTCATGAAAAGTCCCCTCAGAAATGAGCTGGGCATGGGCTGGAGCTCTGAGCAGCCCTGGCTGCAGCCCCAGCTTAACCCCCTGGAGCCGTCCCTGGCAGCAGGGCCCGTCCTGCCCTGTCCCTCTGACGGTGCCCAGGGCAGCCCCGCTCTGCAGTACATCCTCCCCCAAACAGAAAGAGCAGCAGAGCCATCCTTACAGTCACATCAGTCCTGTGAAAGTCAGCTTCAGGAGATCCCTCCAGGAGCTCAGGGGACATTGCCTTGCACCCACACACTCACCATGCACAGGGCTGTGAAAGTGTTTCCCCAAGTGAAGTCTCAGCTCAATGTCTTCCCAATCCTGATTGCCTTCGGCCTGTCTCTGCCTTGAGACAGAGTAAAGATCCATTCTGAATTAGGTGAAGGATCTAAGAAAGGTGAAAAGTCTGTGAGGCCAAAGCTGAAGGAAAAACTCGCATGCCGAGACAGCAAGGAGACATAAAAAGAAAAACAGAAAGACCACAAGGTCGATTTGCCCCCGACGTAGAAATTCCTTTGATAAAGAAGAACTGGTGCTAAATGTCACGCGGAATGAATATGTATGAACTTATTGTGAAACTGTATGCATATGCATTTGGAAGGGGGATAAAAGAAGACCCGAGGTCTTCAGACGCACGCATGCCTTTTTGGGGGACTTGCGTCCGGTGCGAGTCGTAATAAAAGCATACAGGGCTTTACAACTTTTACAAAGTTGTGAGGTTTCTTCTTTTCTCCGCAAAACATTATGGCGACCACGAAGGGACTTCTCTGTCCCCACAGGGGCAGGGGAGATAGACGGACCTCCAAGGCGCGCCCTAGGATTTTTTTTCCTGGTGGGGCTCCGCTCGTCTCAACTTGCCACCTGCGAGGACAGACAAGGACCTGCTGGCCTGCGGAGGAAGATACGGTATGTACTGAGGGGCCCCTGGGGGAGGGAAAGGAGAGCAAGGGAGTAAACCACCCAGAGATGTCTGGGTTCAGCTGATAGAGCAGCTGTATTGGAGACGGGATTCATCGTTCTGATAGAGCAGACCGCAAGCGGTTCTGGGGGTGAGCCGGGTGAACCCGTGTATGTGTGTGTTGGGGGTTCATTGTTCTGACGGAGCAGAACCGCTGAGCCTGTGTGTGTTTTGTTTGTGTGCATGTGTGATGTCCGAACACTGTGTTGCTATATAGTTAATGTGTGCATTGTGTGGTCAGTGCACTGTGTTTGCAATCGTGCAAGTGTATAAGTGTATGGTGTATAAAAGAGAGTAGAGCTACAGTGCTATACGGTGCGGGGGGGGGGTCAGTACTACCCGTGTTTGAAGCAGCCGAGTGAGGCCTGAGGCAGCGGCTGCAGCAGGCTGCGGGGGCAGGGAGAGAAGTGCCCCACGGAGAAGCGAGTGGAGGAATGTCAGTAATGGTATTTATCGTGTTTAAATGTAGTGATTTGTGTAGATATGGTACATTTTAACCGTGAGTATGAGCTCAGAGAGTTCCTTTGCCTTGGATGTTTGGACTTGATCTCTAGACTGTGCTGTTATTTTGATTGTGTCCAGGAAAAATTAATGTGAGTAAATGCTGAATTATGGTATGCTGTGTTGTGCTGAGAAAAGCGAGCACTTTGAGAGATATGCCCTTTCCCAGTGATTTTGTGTAGTGATTTTCTTCCGCTGCATTGTGGTAATTTGATTCTCAGATTGTATAGTAGTGTTTTTGGAGATTTTAATATTTTGTTTGCAACAAGAGTAGCATTTTACATAGGAGAACTATAGTACGGTGATTTATGCTTAACTACTGTGGGATCTCAGTCTCTCAGAACTGGGGTGCAGGGTGAGCAAGACCCCCCCTGGGGGGCTCGGGAGTCCTGGAATGCTGCCAGAAATGTCTGGTGGCTGGACTTTGATCCCACATGGGAGATGACATCAGTATGAGGACGGGAGGATTTCACTGGGGTGAATGGTGAAGGGACAAGTTAATTGGAGTGTGAGATACAGGGTTTAAGATCCCTGTACAGGGGGGTCTAGAGAGGCAAGATGGAGGGATTGGGGCGTGCCCTTCTCCTTCTTCTTCTTCCTCTGGGCCTCCATCTTCTGTGGTGATGTTGGCACTCCGGGATTGGACCTTACTAGGGGAACACTGGTTAATAAGGGTAGAGGGTATTGGAGAAAAATGATAAATATTGTATACGTAACTCCGGGTATAAAGATAGGTGACCGCCCCAGGGGCTTTCAGTGTGTGCCCATGGCTGACTGCTGAGCAGAACTCTGTCAGGCCAAGAGAAAATCTTTTAGATAAGCAATTAATAAACACCAAGACCAAGAACAAATCTGAAGCTTCCTCTCGTCCTTTCGAACCCGGGGGCCCAAGGCCATCTTTGGGCTTTTCCCCAGACCATCTGAACAGCTGAGAAATCCCACAATTGGCGTCCCTGGGTGGGCTATCTCCCACCAAACCTTTCGGGGGGGGGGAAAGCCCTGAAGAGCTGAAGAGCCAAGAGAACAGCACTGATAACTCCAGAGGAGGGAAGCCTGAAGAAAGAAAGAAGAAAAAGAAAAAACCGGCCGGGAGAAGCTGCAAAAATCAGCAGTCACTGAGAAATCCCATCTCTCAGCTTCTGCTGAAGACAGCTCGTAGCAGAGCGGCCTGGACTGGGACCAGAAAGGCGCCTCTGATCCATCCCTCGTAATCTGCTGGACGGAGAACAAGGGCCTCCAGACCACGCTGACGACGGATTCGGTAAGAAGGCCAAAATAATACTATGGGGGCCTCACTCTCCCAAGAACAACGGGAAATCTTATCCACCTTACAAAGTGTAGCAGAATTATATACAGAAGGGATCCCAAAGAAAGAATTAAAACAGCTGTTACTATGGGCAAGGCTCAATTACCCACTTGCGGAGACATATCTTTTGTTCGAAGTCGGGTTTTGGCAAGAGATTAATAGGCATTTATATATTTTAGCAACAAAAAAAGATGAGACAGCGTTAAAGCTACTCTCGCCGGCAAGAATCGTGTTACAAGGTATTTCAGTCCAGTCTAAAAAACTGGAAATGCAGCGAGAAGCTGCGGCACCCTCAGAGGAGGGGGCGGAGCGGCAGAGCTCCGGGAAAAAACTGCTCTGGCTTT